GGGCCCCGCCCTCCTGCCGCCTTGTCCCCGAGCCTCATACAGGCCTGCGGATGCGAGGCAGGGGTTTCTGCCTCCTGCTTCACACCTGGGGAAACCGAGGCCCACAGGTTTCAGGGACTTGACCTGAGCCCCATTGTGAGTTAAGACAGACGCGGGGCGGGGGGTAGAGCTGGCCAGAAATAACACCCACAAACCAGACTTCCCAGAAACTTCTCCCCAGGCCTGCGAAGGCCCCCCTGCAGATGGAGGCTCTGCTTGGAACATGGGAGCTGCCCGGGGTGTGAGTCAGTCCAGCTGCTGCAAGGCCGGGTGAGGGAGCCGCTGGGCTGTCTGTCCCCGGGGAGAGGTACCTTCACCCGCTTGGTCACGCCCTCGTGTGGTCCATCATTTGTCCACTCAGCGCACGCGTGTGCCCCCTAAGACAGACAGAAATAGCCCTTCTCAGACCCCACCCACCCCACCTCGGGCCTCCCCTCCGCTGCTCCCCTGAACAGCGGGGCTGGGCTGAGCAGACCTGTGGTTCCTTTCAACTCAGACAACAGCCTCACCTCCACCTGAGGGCAGGAGGGCCCCTGGGAGGCAGTGGGCATTCATTTGCCCAACAAACCTGAGTGCCCACCCTGAGCGAGGGGCTGGCTGCAGGAGCCGCAGGGGGGAGGGGCTGAAGGCCAGCAGCCCCAGGGGCAGGTGGGCGAGGACACGGCCACGTGAGAGCAGTGAGGATCCAGCGAAGAGTTTTTAAAAAGGGAGAGTTTTTAAGCTGAGTCGTGAGGGCCCGGCTGCGTAGGAGAGGGAGGGGCACTCCAGGCCCAGGGCACGGTGTGAATGTGGGCGCCTGTGGGCGGCAGGGCTGGTGGGATTGGCAGTGGGTGGCTGGGCCCGGGCATGTTGCCTGGGTCTGGGTTCAGAGAGGCAAGAGCAGCAGAGCCAAACAGGCACCTCTAATGAACTGTGAGCTCTGCCCTGGCTTGCTGGGCTCTCTGTGCCTCAGTCTCCCCGCCTGCAATGACGGATTTCAATATCTACCTCCCAGGTGGTTGTGGGGATTAAAGGAATAACTGAAGGAAGTGCTAGGCACAACATGTCACTCAAGATCTGACGAGGACGTCATAGCTCCCTCAGGGCAGTGGGTGGACCAGGGACCTGCCCCTGGCTGCACCCTCAATTCCTTTTCCCTCCCAAGGGGGCGCCAGCAGAAGCCCTAGCCTGGGCATGTCTCTGGGGCAGGGGGAGGTTGGCATTCCTCTCCTTGCTCAGCCCCTTCTCCCTCCTAGTCCCCCTCCGCCCTGGCCGCCCCAGCCCCTCCCCCACCCCCTCAGCCCTCTCCGTGTGCGCTGGCCGGGAGGGCCTTCCATTGTACTATCTTTGGGCCCTAAATTAAAATTGATGACATCTTGAAATGAGCAGTGAGGGTAATTTTGCTTCTGAGCCGGGATGCTAATGAGGCCCCTTAATGGTGCGAACGCTGAGCTGACGGGTCGTGTGTCACACGCGGCCGTGAGGGGGGTAATGGCGGCGGTAAGTGCCGGTAATTGCACCCTGTCTCGCTGGATTTTGGCAGCCTGGTGGGAGAGTGGGGCTCAGTCACCGCCAGCAGGGGCACCCCCACCCCCCGCGGGCCTGACAGCCAGAGACACCCCCTCGGCCCAGCCAGGCTCCTCAAATCCAGCCTTACCAAGAATGAGGTGCCTGGGGCACAGCCCCCCACACGTACAGTCACACACGGTACTGTTACACCATGTGCACCCCGACACCCCACAGCCTGCACCGGGCACTTAGACACACATGCGTGCTCCCCCTACACACTCCACACCCTGTGAACACAGCCCCCTGTACACACCCTCAGGGCTCACACACACACATGTGCACACAACACGCCCTCAAATAGTATGCGGGTGCGTCCTGTGCTCCAGTCTATCTCAGTCCTCCCAGCTTCACAGGTCCGTGTCGCTGCTCTCGTTTTATGGTGCAGAAACGGAGCCTTGGGAGATGAAGCGATTTGTCCCAAACCACAGGGCTAGGCAGTGTCAGAGGCAAGAGGGGCGTCCAGGTCTGTCTTACTTGGCAGTCTTTGCACCCTCATCTCCTCTCATGTACACTTGCATATATATGCCTCTCAATGTGCACACACGCGCAGGTCACACATAGCCTCCTGCACTGGGACGATCACCTACGCGCTGCTGACACACGTGCGCGATGTCCTTAGCATGCACACACAGATATCTACACGTGTGTACACCGGGATCACATCATGCCCACACTCCGCGTGCACACAGTGCGCTAGTCACGCAGCCGCCCCAGGCCCCAGCACCTCAAGCTCTAGGAAGGATAAATCGCCCGGCTCCACTGCCCTCTCCGGTATTTAACTGTGAGGGTAGAATGACGGCCACACAAAGGAGTGTGAGGTGCCCTCCACACCCCCTGCAGCAGTGGTTCTCAACCTTCCTCATGCCGCGACCCTTTAATACAGTTCCTCATGCTGTGGTGACCCCCCAATTTCGTTGTTACAAATTGAACATAATTAAAGCATAGTGATTAATCACAAAAACAATATGTAATATATATGTGTTTTCCGATGGTCTTAGGCGACCCCTGTGAAAGGGTCCTTCGACCCCCAAAGGGGTCGCGACCCACAGGTTGAGAACCGCTGCCCTGCAGGAACTCACACCGGGCACACAGACACCGTACACGTGGGCACACACTCTGACCAGGTGGTGTCTAAGCTCTCTGTGCATGCGACAGGCAGCCTTCAGACACATCTCTGAACACACACTATCCACATGCGATGGACGTATGCGTGTGGCCCTGGTGGAGAGCCCCAAGTGCACACACCACTGCAAGTGGAAACCACAGAGCCCGTCGGTTCTTGTCATGTGCATACCCTCCCACCCGCAAGCGTTTATTAGCCTGTGATTACAGCAGAGGGTAAAAGTATGGGCTTTGGAGTTTGCCTGCGTCCTTGGCCTGGGTCCATCGCGTTACTTGCTGTGTGACCTTGGGCAAGTTACTTAACCTCTGTGTCTCATTTTTCCCCTCTGTCAAATGGGGGCAATGGTAGTGTGCCGACTTCCTAGGGATGCTGTGAGGGTTAAATGGATTAACTGTGTAAAGCACTTAGTGCCTGGCACATGGGAAACCTCCTATGAACATGGAGGCAAGGTGTGCATCTCTGACAAAGGATGCACGTCAGGATACCACGCCCTGAGGAGTGGGCAGTGGGAGGTAGGAGAGGGAGTGACCACCTACAGCTTAGGTGGCCAGTAGGGCTTCCTGGAGGAAGAGGGCTTAGGCTAGGCCTTGAGAAGAACTGTAGCCACTGCTCAGTGAGCACCTACTCTGTGCTGGGCCCTGAGCTGAACACTGTGTACAAATGAACCCTCTGTGTCCTCTGTGACCCCCAGGAGGTGGGCGCCATCATGTCCACATTATGACCAGGAGAAAAGGGTGCAGAGACTTGGAAACTTGTCCAAGGACAGGAAGGGCACAGAGAAGAGGAGATGGGGGCACGGGAATTCCAGGCGGGAAAGCAGCATGTGTCAGAAATAGAGCAACAGATGGGAAAACACCCCCAGAGGGCTCTCCTTGATACACTGTAGCTGCTCCCAGATAATGAGCGGGGTGCGCATCTGGAGGGGCGTTCTGACCTAATTGCTGTGTCGCTCGCTTGCAGCCACACCAGGGACCTGGGTAGGGAGGGCTGCAGCGCAGCCCACAGCATGCTGGGCCGGGGCGGGAGCCGGCCTCACCACCCCGCCTCCCCCCACCAGGGCCCAGCTGGGGGTGGGAGGGAGCATGCGGAGCCCCCTTCCCTGAGGCCCAGGCCTGGCTGTCTGGCAAAGGACCAGAGAGGACTCAGGGCACGAAGCCGTGGGAGGAGGTGGTGAGGGCGTGAGTGAGTCTCTGTCCGCCCACCCTGAAGCCAGCACGGCCGCACCCCAGGCTAGTCCCTGGGACCTCTCAACAGGCAGTCAGCCGGTTGTCAGGGCGCCCACGGCTCTCCACAACACGCCCCAGAGTCCCACGTCCATGAAGCCGCCCAGGGCCTGACAAGCTGGTCTGCTCACCCTTCTCAGAGATCACAGACGTTTTCCTCAGTGTCTGCAATACATTTTATATATGTATTGATTGATTTTAGAGAGAGGAAGGGAGAGGGATAAAGACAGAAGCATCAATGTGAGAGCAGAACATGGATCGGCGGCCTCCTGCACACCTCACACTGGGCATCAAGCCCACAACCTAGGCATGTGCCCTGACCGGGAATCGAACGGCGGTGACTC